ATATAGCACACTTAGATATAGAGGCAGCCTGATCTGTTCTTTATAGACAGGTCTGTCTCAATTTATGCAAAACTCAGATCAAAAGCATTAAGTAGTTTTACTGTAATGCTGCTTACATGTCATCCTTCCATTTAAGTATCTTGTAGTTACAATAATAGGCAAGTCACATTGCATGGTACAACCATTATCTTTGCTTGTTTAATCATTGTGACCATGTTTCAATAAAGAGAACTGTAAAAAATAAAACTTATGTTAATTTTACAACTGACTGACTTTATTTTTATAAATTGATAGCTCTACAAAAATTTCATTTAACTTTTTCTCAGAAAGAACTAGTCTTGCAATTATATAATATACTAATATGGAGAGGCACTGACATATTCATATTTTGACATTCAATACAACCAAGACCAATTAGTAAGCACCAACTTGGAAACAAATAGGCCCTTTATAGCTATTAATAATGAAAGATAATTGCTGGTTAAATTTGCCAAGAAGGAGTAGGGCAGTTTATATTCCTCCAAGTGATGGTTTTCCGGGAGGCATTTTCAAGTTCTAGAGCACATGTATTGTAAATAGGCAATCCCTGTTAAAAATTACAAAAAAAAGAACTTGTCTTTGTGTTGCATTATATACATATAGTGGAGCATTGGATACAGTTGTTTACTAGTGAAATGATAGACCTCCATGATGAGTTATGACTTGGCAAAAATATTTTAAAGGAATCAGTAGCGTGTGTTTGTGTGTGTGTGTGTGTGTGTGTGTGTGTGAGAGAGAGAGAGAAAATTATCTGCTCCTAACTTGCAAATAACCTTAAACATAATAGAGTTGTATTAAGATGAAATAATGGCTAATGACTCAGTCAGAAGGGTAAACATTTTTTGAAGATAACATTGAAGCTATTCAATTTAATTTTAATGTAAAATCAACATACTTATTGTTCTAAAATAATAACATATCAAAAAAGAATACATAACTCCAGACTCCATCACCTTTCTTTTTGTATTTTTAATAGAGAACCTCATATGATATACTTCGATAGTTACGTGAGTGCATGTGTAATAAAAAACAGTTAAAAATATTTTCATTCTATATCTAAGTATATGTTTTATAACTGTTCATATTTGGAGAAAAGTGGAGGAATACAAAATTTCTCAAAGCTTAAAAAAGACTTGAATTTCTCAAAATAGATTTATCATCATAGCTTCAACAATTGAACCATTATTACATAATTGCCTCTGTGCAAATGTAGTTTGAAAGTACTTATTTTCAACTTCCTGTGTAACACAAACTCACACTCACAAATACACACAAGCACGTACACGGAGCCAAATATATGAATATTTATCTATCGATCCATGAATAGGTAGATGGATTTTTTTTCCTTGGATACTTTCATACAAATTTCTAGATGAAGCAATGCATCAATGATTTTGGTTACTTGAATACCTTTTTTTAATTCAGAAAAATAGATGTCCTTGAAATTTGATTTAAAAATGACCTTTCAATGAAAATCTTGGAATGATGTCACAGCTGATGCAGATTGACACTTAATTCTGAAAACCTGGATAATTTGTATTAAAAAGGAAATGTGATTTTAGGATATCATAAAATGACCAAATCTTTTGAGTGCCCACATGAATCTAAGGTATTTAAGAGGAAAATAATTTAATTAAATAGAGGAAATCTTAAAGTACATGAATTTCGTGATTAGAATGTATGAATAATGTTTAAAGCAGAAATAAAAATTGAAATTATATGCATTGTTTTAAATGAATTATTTATGATTTGTGCTAAAATATAATATGAAAAATTGCAATAAATGGCTTATCTTATTCCAGTCCCAACATATAGGGTAGAATGTATATCATGGCTAGAATTTATATACAATAAACTCTTATGAGCTGCATTTTAGACCATTTTTTTTTATTGTGTTGCTGTCAATTTGCAGTCTTGATGTCAACTCAGAAGACAAAACTAGCATTTTGTATCTGTCCATACTGCACCACAATCAGAATCAATGAAAATTATTGCTGCCTTATGCTGCTTGTTTATTAAAAAAAATAAAAAATACATTAGCATTTTTCTGAGTTTTGTGACTTGTGATGGTTAAAAAAGGTGTCACTTTGGATTCAGGTAGAAAAAAGAGGGAAAAGGATTGGAAAAAAATATTGCAGCAGGAACTAGTGTGTTTGGTTCTGTAAATTATATGTAGGTAGATTAAATATGCCATGTGTTTTGACTTGGAATAAAGATAGTAACATAACTTCAATCTTTCAGACACTATAGTTTGTTAAGCTCCCATCTTTAGGTTTGGTCCTGATGTTAAACCAAAACCAAGCTGAACATAAACCTGCTAACCATAGTATGAACTACAAAAATGTGAAATTCTTCAATTCAGGGAACTGACACTTTAAGGTCAATGATCTTTGCAACACTTATAAGGTATTGCTTTTGAGTTTCTAGATTAGTCGATTTCCACAAATTTTGAGCAGTTACTCTATACAAGGCACTGGGTTAAGTGCTGATTACCATGAATATTGAGACATGATCTTCGCTATAGGGTCGCTACGAGTCGGAATCGACTCGGAGACAACAGGTTTGTTTTTTTGTTTTTTAGGAAATAACTTCACATATATTCAAATAAATTAAAACTTTCTATTAAAGTATGGAGCCCTTGTGGCACAGTGCTAAAGAGCTCAGTTGCTAACCAAAAGGTCGGAAGTTCGAATCTACCAGCCGTTCCTTGGAAACCCTACGAGGCAGCGCTATTCTGTCCTACAGAGTCGCTATGAGTCGGAATCGACTCAACGGCAACAGATTTGGTTTTGGTTTTATTAAAGCATCCTAAACCAATCAGACTTTACATTACAGCAATAATGAAGTATACTTAACTCATCAAATATCCTAAGATTATCAGTCTGTCCACAAATTATTTTCTCATTTCACAAATGTTTCCGGCTGCTAAAAAGTTACCTGTACTACTTATTGCCGCAAACACTGTCTAATAAACAATCTCAATATGTCAGCGGCTTGGGGTTTGGCTGATCTAGGCTTGGCCTAGCTGGTTAGTAGCTAGTATCGCAATCGGACTTGGCTCCAGATAGGAGACCAAGTAGAAGTCAACTCGTGTATATCATTCTGTGACCTAGGCTGAAGGGTCAGTGGATACCTAAGAACTTTTCTTATTTTTTTCTCATGAAGTTGGCAGAAGTGCCAAGAGTTTTAAGCCAAACTGTGATAGAACATTTCAAGCATTTGCTTGCACCACATTCGCTAACATTCCATTGGCCAAAACAAGACACATGGCCAAGTACAAATTAAAAAAGCAGGAAAATACACTTGATCAACCTTGAGGCCCTGGCAATAAGGTGGAAGAATATCTCAATTAAAGTGGAGTAAGGAATGAGGTGAATAATTCAATCTATCACACTATCCCTTCTTGGTATTGTTCTTTTCTATAAACATTGTCTTATTACTGTTTCAACCATAGGCAGTGATGGCTAAGTTTTGCCTTTGTGCTCCAGAAGTTGTTTACACTTATTGCTATACTTGCAGTTTCAGCATGTGGTATTTTAATGCTTTACAAGATCATGACCTTGTGAAGGTCATTACATTACGGTATCTTCTTGGATCCCTAGGGTTTTTCACTTGGCCTACGGTTTAGAAAGTATTCTAATAAACAAAGAATATTTGAACTCATATAATGAGACTTTTATTTTTTATAAAAGCAATCACACATTTATTTATTCATCGAAAGATATTTTATTAGTTGCCCTACTAATGTGGTAGAAACACTATTTGATACAGGCTTTAAAGAAATTCATTGTGATTCATAATGTGTATGTAAAATTGATTTAATTATTACTCTTATCCCTATTACATTTATAACTAAAAAACTAACTAAATGTTAACTCAGTTCCAATACAAATAATAGTTAGTAAACAACTTCTAATAGGTATGGAACAAAACATTACAATATTTTCATAAAATTTTATCAAAAATTATTAAGAATTATTTTGGCTATAATAACAAAGCATGCCTACCTTTTACAAATATTTACTAAATTTAAAAAAATGTTTACTGAAGTATTTACTATATATTTTGCACAAGACAGGAGTATCTTAATAGAAATATTTCATAACCTCCTCATTCTTTTCTCTGTTAAGTTGCACCCCAAAGTGCAAACTTTAACTGTAATGCCTTTTTGTCTGAAGACATTAAATCAAACCCAAACTCATTGCCGTTGAGTAGATTCCGACTCAGCGACCCTATAGGACAGAGTAAAACTGCCCCATATAGTTTCCAAGGAGCACCTGGTGGATTCAAACTGCCAACCTTTTGGTTAGCAGCCAGAGCACTTAACCACTACATCACCAGGGTTTCCAAAGACATTAAAGATAGGTACTTTTGTACAATGTAGATTGAGCTATCAACCAGAGGTTTGTGATTCTTCAAAATGGAAGTTTTTGTAACAGCACAAAAGTGAAATTCACAGAAACAAACTAAACAATCACCTAAGATTTTTCAACCACAGCAAAAGCAATAGTTGTGTAAGTCCTGCCATATACTAGTTTGAATGCGGGGAATATAAACATAAAGTGAACAGGTGTTCATATAAGGCCCTATCTTCAGGGTTTGAAACGACTGAAGAAATAAACCACCTAAGGTCCGTGTAATACTAAAGTATACTAGCACTGAGCTGGGTATTTTGACACCCTATTTCTAAAACATTCTTACACATTAATAACATACAATTGCTACAAATAAAAAACACCTTTTTAATACTGAAAAATTAGAATCTTTTACTTAGTGACAGTATCAAACATAGAGACTCTAACTCTGGCAAGCTTGTGGCCTACTAAAACTGCTTTTCAATGCTCCTATGGAAGCTTCGTTAGACTTAGTATTCACCAAGCTTCCTTATTGGTTAATATGTATAATAAAGATGTTGTGTGTCAGCTTTCACTTCCAAGGCCGCAGCATCAGGCATCTCTCTTCTACTGAATGAAACAGTTGTTTCTGGAGCGCAGACACATTTTAGGACGATAATTCTCCAAATACACAAGTTGCTTGCTGTTAAAAGCCCCACGTCGCTTTTGCCTTATGAATTGTACTGCTTCTTCGTACTTCATTCCACCTTCAATTAATGCTAGGGCAACCAGCACTGGACCTCTCCCAAGACCTGCAACACAGTGAACCGCAATACAGCAACCAGGATTTTCACGAAATTTCATTTTGACAAGATTTAACCATTTATCAACTATCTGGCTGGAAGGTGGTGTACCATCATCGAAAGGCCAGTCCAGAACCTGGATGCCTTCTTTCTCCAGAATAGTAGGGCTGTAAGTCGCTTCACAAACTCTCACTATGGTGGTAACTCCATTCTTCTTAAGCTCCTGTAAGAATTTGTTTAAGGAGGCATTGGATGGATTGTGTGCGATAAGAAATCTCATATTCCTGTATGTTATTTCCACAGGAGCAGGGCAGTTAATGCCAGCCATATTGAAGTAATTTTTAAAAAGTAAATTAGTAAAGAATACAGAAAAGATCTAAAGGAACAGAAGTCTACTTTCAAAATACTTCAGTTGAAATGTTCAGTGCGTTGAATATGAAGTTAGGAGTAACAGGAAGTGAAGCGAAGCCCCCCAAAAAGCATCAATGTTTCAATCCGGTAATACCGACTGCATAGAAAATAAGTGTACTCAGCTTTACCCCCATCCAGGTCAGAACTCTCGGAAATGTTCCGGCAATTTCAGTTCAGCTCTCCAACGTCCAGGTTATTCTTTCTGATGGGGACCTCTCAGGCCCTAACGACTTTCTAGAGTTTGTGTAGAGGTTGCGTTGGGCCTGGCAGAAATCCCCACTGCCCCTCGGAAACTCCACAAATGTTTCCAAAAACACTAGAGGACTGAGGGGTATTTTTAAGCATTGACGACTGTGGCCAAATAAAACAGCCGGTTCCGCCGAGGTGACTATGACATCAACCAGTGCTGGACTCGGGAAAAGTACATCATCACAGCACGTGAGCTCCAAACGGGATCTTGAGCCGCGTCACAAACGCTTCCTTTCCGTTCTGCAGGCTTCTAAGGTCAAAGGGCGAACCCAGCCACCAATCACAACTAGGAGGGTGGAGCCGGGCAGGAGCAAAGTGGGGCCAGAGACGTCACAATCGGGCAGCGGCTGCCCAAGTGCCAGATCTGTTTATCTCTATGGAAATGGTCTAGAAATTAAGTGTTCAGATCTTCCCACACTAACGTCTAATGCACAATCGTATTAGATGATCATTTAATGTCAGTTCCATTTCTTCCTATAAAGAAACAAACGAAGGTCATATTAGAGGTCACTCTAACATTACAACTGAATCATCATTTCACAAAAGAATCATTGTTTGTGATACTGATTATTCCTTTAGCTGCCTTTGTTAGGTGGGTAGTACTCTGCTCCAGGACGGGGTAAAAATCATTCACGGTTGTTTCCTCCATGTGCTACAAAAGCTGACGTGTTTTATATCCAGCCTCTACAGGCATTTTAAAACGATTTCCCAACATACAAGGATAATCTGGTTTCTAAGACTTAAAATAGAAAAGGTATGAAAAGAATGAAAAAAAGTCAACCAATCTGACAGGAATCTAAACCTCCTCAATCTCAACGGACCTAAGAGTCATAAAGCCTTTCTTTCTAGGGAAAGACGGAAGTTAATTTGGAATTGGGAAGGGGGACGTGGAGAAGGAGTAAGAACAGCTCTGACTCCCTTTCCTGGAGTGGGGGTTAGGGCAAGAGAATGCTAATGACCATTGCATTTTCCTAAAAATGCAAAGGTCCAAAGCTGCTTTTTCCACCTAAACTGGTGGCGCAGTGGTTAATTGCTAGGGCTGCTAACCAAAAGCTCAGCAGTTTGAATCTACCAGCCGCTCCTTGGAAACTCTATCGGGCGGTTCTACCCTGTCCTATAGGGTCGCTATGAGTCGGAATTGACTCAACGGCAATAGGTTAAACTACGAGGGAGGAGAAGGAAGTTGGTGTGGGAAAGCAGGTTGTGGAAAGGGAGTATATAATGCATATGTGTGTAAAATGATTACTCATCATACTTATCTTCTCTGGTTGGATAATAAAAATAATGTATATTGCTAAATTATGTATATGGCTATAGTCATATTCTATTCAAGCACATAGTGAGGAAACAGGGAGTGTATAATTCATAATCACACTATGCTCGCCATACTCGGCATGGCTGATTTCTGTAACTCACTACAAAAATCGCAAATCCCATGATGTATATGCATAGATACAACTATATGCATATATACAAATTACTTTCATTACGTTATATGTATCATAAATGAGTTCTGCATCTGCAAACATATATATTTCTTTCTCTGAAATGACATATCCAAATTAGCTGTAATTAAAAGCAGACTACTGAAGAAGCCATTTGTCATATTTACTTATATTTTTCCTATAAACATGTTCCTTTGCCCTTTCCATAAATTTTAAATAAAAATCTAGAAGAAAAAAGTCTTATTTGAAAGAGTCTCATTTTGTTAATAGATTCTTCAAGCAAAACAAGTCCAGTGTCAGACATAGCACACGTGTCTCCCCAATTCCTGACTAATATCCCATGTAATGAGATGAAATATATGCATTTTAAAATAATATATTCATAACAGCACATAAAAAAATAAAACAGAGTGCCGTTAATGGTTATGTATAAAGGGAGACCATAGAGTATTTATGAATTAATTCAATACACATTTATTAAGGCTTTCCTATCGGCCAGGCATGGAAAGATTAGTAAAATCTAGGCTCAATTGGTAAGAAGCTTGTTATCTACAGGAGAGACACTCACATATATAACTTATTTAAAAAATGAAAGACATTATATCCGTAGTGAGAACAAACTGGGTCCAGGGGAGGGTGTGGATATTCTGCCTAGCTTATCAAGCAGGATGCTAGAGAACGGTTTCTCAGAAGTGACATTTAGGAATGCATTCACTGATCTTTCACCATTTTCATCACCGTAATGTAAGTCTCTGCAATAGCTCTATAGTCTGTATGTTTTCATGAGGAGTGAGTGCCCACAAAAAGTTGGCCATAAATAGTCAATGGAGAAGTGAGGCAAGATTAGCCAAGAATGAAACATTATGCAAGTTGGATTGAAATATAGCTGGGAAGAAATGGGAAAATTATAAACTCAATAACTGCTCCCTGATACTCCAGGAAAAGGAAAAGAAAGCAGGAAGTCTTCTGAAAACAAATGCAACACCATGTAAACTTCCATCAGCCAAACCATCTAATGAGGACTAAAAAACCAATTATTCTTCAATTAAACTCTAACACCTATTTCAGGGATTCTTAAATAGGGAAATGGGTTTTTCTATGACATATTACATATGAGAAATAGTGTGAGATATATTAGGCCTGACAAAGGTAACTATAAGCCCAGTAGAAATTGCATTTTGAAATACTGAATTATTTGATATTTTATCTTAGGTTTGGTTCATGAAGAATAAAAGACTATACTGTTTTTCTGGATAAAATGTTAAGAAAAATATAAGACTGAATTAATAGTGTTTTTCTCTTCTGCTTTATAACTAAGATATTTTATAAGTTGCAATGAGTCAGGGGCCGACTCCGTGACAGCTAACGACAACAGATATTTTATATACCCACCCGAGTTCACCCCCCGCCATAGACACCACTGATCTGCTTTATGCCACTATACATTCACTTGAATCTCCCAGAATTTTATATATAGGATCATACAGTGTATACTCTTTCTTGTCAGGCTTCTTTCACTCAGAATAACTGTTTTGGGAGTCACTCATGCTATAGTATTTATAAGAATATCAGTCCATTTTATGGATATATCACAATTTGCTTATCCATTCACTTGTTGATGGACATTTGGAATGTTTCTGGGTACATGCTCAGTGGTGGTGTTGCTAATCATTGAGTACATTCAATCTTAATTTGATTAGGTACTGACAAATTGATGTACAGATATACAACAGTCAATATACCCCACAGCAGGACACAAGGGTTGCTATTTCTCACATCTACACCAATATTGGCAATGCGCAGCTCTTTTGTATTTGCTAATGTAAAGTGGTATCTCCTTGTTCTTTTAACTTGATTCTTTAATTACTAATGACTTTGATTGTCTCTTCATATATTCATTCACCTCTTGGGTATCCTCTTTGCAGAGTTGCCTGTTTATATTCTCTGTTTATGTTTTTTCTTGGTTTTAGATGTTGCAACTATCATTCTTTCGTTTTTTATCTGTCAGATTTGTTCCAGTGTCTCTCACTGGGAAAAAAATCCTTTATTTTGATGTAACCAACTTAATCCTTTTGTTGGGCCTTGTGGCTGATGCTTTTTGCGTCTTATTTAAGAAGTGCGTTCCCAAACATAGCTGACAAATATATTCTTCTACGTTGTTTCCAACTAAATTTATAATTTTGCCCTTCATATTTAGCATTTCTAAACCATCTGGAATTCACTTTTTATATTTGATAAAGCAGGGATCAGGTTTTCCTAGCATCATTTATTTTACAGTCTGAGACTGAACACTTTATAGTCAAACGTTTGTTGTGTATTGATTTCAGGGCCCTTGTTTATCTTCCCCTATGTTATCACATATTACTCAGGAAGCCTAAAATTATAGCATTTTAGTTTTTAATATGGTCATTCTTAAACTCTTTGTGATCAGTGACTACTTTTCATCATTTTCCCCAATTGTTATAGAAAGCTGCCTTTTCATATATTAATACATTCCAATAATTTGTCTCTTCCTGAACCAATAACATATCCCATTGTAGATGATATAAGTAATTTAATATCTGAAGAGAAATTATCTCTTCATTTCTATTTTTGTAATTCCCTCCTTAGGAATTCTTCTGTCTTAATTTCTCCATAACTTTAAATAATTATTTTAATAGAGAAAAATAAACACCTTTTGAATTGTTATAGATTGATGTAGGAGAAATTTATAACCAATATTGAGTCTTCCCATATTAGAAAAACAGTTTCTATTTATGCAAGATTGTGTGCCTCAGCAGAGTTTATAGTTATTAATAAAGACTGCATTTTTTTTCTGTAAAATTTACATTACTGTTTGAAACTTAAATATAGATCTTAGGACCAAATCCTAGTATTTGACCAATTTTCTCTCCTTTGGGCAATGGAATCTTTTCATATACCTGTTTGCCAAAAGCAAAATTATAATCCCAAACGTGTATCTCATAAACAAGTATCTGTCTGTGTTGTTGAGGTCTGGAATTACCTCAAACCCTGTTGTTTCTCTCAGATCCCAGTACCTTTCACTAGAAATCCTCATCAGGAAAATCACCCTCTGTTTAAAGAGGTATAATATTGAGGGAAAACCTGAAGCTATCAGCTTCCTTGCTCTCAGTTGGTAAACAAGTCCTTACTCCCCAGCTCTTTCTAAAGTAATTCCCAAAAGACTCTGATGATTGCCCTAAGTTTGAGGCAGTAGTTAGCA